TCTCCAAACTCTGATAGATGCCATTGTATCTATTGTATCCTGTCATAGAGCTGCACCTTTGTCCATAAACAATTTAAAAGACACCAGTGAGCCACACTGTTGCTCTGAGTGATTAGTTTCATCATCGACATGAACGCACAGACACTAGTTTATTTTGACTCAGTGCCACATACACTGTCCTGCTCCCATGCTCACTAGATCACCAAGAAATTAATCTGCCACTAAAAATAGTCCTCAAAAAAATGTTATTTTTTCCTCCTGTTTGAGTAATGTTTAATAAAAACAGATGTTTTAGGTAAGTTGCTGAGATGTTTTAAAAATTTAAATATATTTTTGTGACCAGTTTCTAAAGATTTATACCTTAAATAAGAATAAGGATTGATTATTGCAAGGCTAACCAGTCCTCCCTTTCTCATCTTCAGATGGTTCAAAATGCTGCTGCTCATCTTTTAACTAGTACTAGAAAATTCGAGCATATAACCCCGGTACTGGCTTTTCTCCATTGGCTTCCAGTCTGTTTTAGAATTGATTTCAAGTTATTGATTTTTGTTTTTAAGGCTCTTAATGGTTTGGCTCCATCCTACCTCATTGAATTAGTGCGTTGGCACAAAACTACAAGGTCCCTCAGATCTTCAAGCCAGTTTCTTTTAGAGGTTCCTGGGGTTAGATATAAACGCTGGGGTGTTCATTGTTAAATCTGTTTCTTCTTTTGATCGGATGTTTCAGCTAAAGAAAGGGGATCATTGTGATAAATGAGCTGTTCAGAATTACATTGTGATTTGTGTATTCTAATGTGTTGCACTTTAAATGTGTTGGGTTCTTTCAGAGCAAACCCTCCCTCATGGGATCTATGTACCAGGAACTGATGAGCAGTGGGTCTAGGTGTATGTAACGTGTTGTGTTTATGGGACACAAACTATGTTAATAAAAAGCCACATCCACCTGTAGAGGTCATGGTGTTAATTCCTGAGACATACAACATTAACTAAGTTGAAATGTTTTAAATTTAAATTTTTAGATTTTTGTTCAGTTTTTTTGTTCAGAAACAATATAATATAACTGCACAACAACTCACAGCAGGAGAGGGTGAAGGGCAAAGTGAGCATGAGCGAAGTGAGAGGAGTGTAGTGATGTGCAATTGAAGTGATGAACCGGTATTGAACCATTTTAGGTATGCTGAAGAAAACTTAGAAATTTAGGGCAAGGTGTGATTATATAAGTGGGATGGAGATTCACAGATTTTTATTGAGAAACTATATTTTTTTGAATTACTAAGCATCCCGCACTACGAAGCAGTATCGACTGGTATAGTCACGTGATTGAGACTTGATCAGTCAGTCTTTTTCCACACCAAAGCAGGGTATGTGGTTCAAGGAAAATGCTGCTTTAAGTTTTGGTGCATCAGTGTCAGACAGTCATCACTAGAGGATTGGTGTTTGCACAACCACTATGGTGTAACAGGGGTTGTGTACTCAATGTAGAAAAGAGAAACTGATACACAAGTATCGATACCATCACGCAAGTATCGATAGATACCGATTCCAAGGTTGGTATCGATACAACCCAGGGGTTGTGTACTCAATGTAGAAAAGAGAAACTGATACACAAGTATCGATACCATCACGCAAGTATCGATAGATACCGATTCCAAGGTTGGTATCGATACAACCGATACTTTAGATTGATCCACCCACCACTAGTTAATAGATGCCTCCTCCTTTTGTCTTCTGTCCACATGGGCAGCATAACCAAATTTTTAACAAACATGAAAAGACATTGAGAAATGCACCTGACTTAATTTAGGGACAAATCAAGTGTTCTCACTAGTGATGATGAGATGAGGCTTCTTGAAGCCTTTCAGCCAGTTGTTTTGCAAAAGAGTTAATTTCTCTAGGCTTCGTGCTGGCCAAAGATTGTAAGACAGGTAGATGTGTTCGTAGTCATTTTAACTGTGATACTCTCAAAACTGTCTCGCCACAGTTTGGGCATGGGAATAATGACTGCTATTTAACTATGCATTTTTTTCTTGTAAGCACAAGATAATCCATTCAAACCATGTGTTTTTGTCTCCCTTTATTAACATATTTGTGCTTGTTTGTAAATAGTGTGCATAAGACGTTCTTGGCTGATGCATTCTAATCGATGTTCTGTGGTAGCAGTACACTTACCAAAGTAAACCTCCTGCTTTACATCAATAGTTGAAAATGTTTTCAAACTGTGGCAGTGTTGCCAGCTCCTCAGTAAGGAAAGTAGCTATTGGCTGTCCTAAAAGTCCCTAGAAGTCGCTAAATGGCGTCTTTGCCACATTTGCAGAATATTTCATTTGTATGTAATTGTAATGGACGCTGTAGGAAAGAGGAATAGCATCATGTGAGAGTCAAAAAGTGAATAAAAACACCCTAAATATGTTTCATCCATTCGTCCATCCATTTTCCTCCGCTTATCCGGGGCCAGGTCGCCGGGGCAGCAGTCTAAGCAAAGACGCCCAGACTTCCCTCTCTCCAGACACTTCCTCCAGCTCCTCCGGGGGAATGCCGCGGCGTTCCCAGGCCAGCCGAGAGACATAGTCCCTCCAGCGTGTCCTGGGTCTTCCCCGGGGCCTCCTCCCGGTGGGACATGCCCGGAACACCTCCCTAGGAAGGCGCCCAGGAGGCATCCGAAAGAGATGCCCGAG